CAGGAGTACGTGTCTCTTTCAGGAGTGTGTGTCTCTTTCAGGAACATGTGTCTCTTTCAGCAGCATGTCTTCCTCAACCAGCAGTCAGAGCGAGTTCTGCCTCTAAGAGGCCTCCTTTTAAGCCCGGCAGAGTGGTCAAACTACCCAATCATAGCATCAGAACTCTAAGCACCTGAGAGAGAGTGGGCACCTCCCAGAACATTGTTTTGTGCCACTCCCAACAGAAATACTCCAGGTGGACAACTTTAGCAATCAGGAGCTCCCCAGTTGCTCATAGCAAATCCCACCTTGGAGTTTATAGAGACTCATGGGTAGAAAAGCCACACTAAGTAATTTACTACACTGCAATGGTTTAATGATTATCTTAGGGCAATAGTTTTAAATGTTTTTCATTTTAGTCTTAAAATATTTTTCATTAAAAAATAAATGGCTTGTAATCAGTGTCATGAAAACAAAATATATATTAACTGTAGAATGTGAAACTATTCTTTGTAAAATTGCACCCAAATCACAACAATTTTTTTTAAATGGTATTTGTCTTTTAAATGAGTAATTTTCCTCAGTATTTTATCTTTTGTCATATCTGTTAGAGGCAGTATTTGTTTAGCAAACTTAGCACAGAAATGTTGCTTAAAAACTGGCATTTAACCACTCAGAAAGGGATCAAAATTGGAGATTCTGGATAGAGTGGGAGAAAAAATGTGGAACAAAATTTAAAAACATAAAAAAAGACCAAGATTACTGGTTGGATACTGGTCAAACACCTGAGACTATGGTCCCTAGTCATCCTTCGGGCTTGGAACTAGACTCACTCCCATGATTTAACTCTCAGCCAAACAATAGATAGGCCAAAGAGCTGAACAAGTACACACTAGGGAGACACACTCCTTAGAACAATCAACTGTGGGAGATCAGAAGGGCAGCATTTGCACAGGGAGAAAGCTAGGGAGACAGGAATGCATAGGCAAGGACACAGGGAAAGAGTAACCACAGGGAGGAAGTGGGAGGAGAGGTATTACATTGTGGAGATTGTAATCAGAGTCATGAAACAAAATGTGTATGAACTGTTGAATATAAAACAAATCTGCTTTGTAAAATTTCACCCAAATCACAATAAAAAGTTAAAAAACAAACAAACAAAAAAGAACTCTGTGCATGAAAACAATAGTCCAAGGGATTAGTGGACCATGTGAACCTCAGCCTATATGACCATGAGACCAGAAAAACTAGATGGTGCATGGCTACCACTGTCAACCACTTGGAGGAGGATCAGTGCAGGAAATCCTGGATAGAGTCGGAAAACAATGTGGAACAAAAGTCAAAATCATGAGAGAGAAAAAAAAAAAAGACCACACTTACTGGTCTGATAGAGCCTGGTGAGACCCCCCAAGACTATGGCCCCTAGTTATCCTTAAGGTCTGGAATTGAACTCACTCCTGTGGCATCCAGCCAAACAACAGACAGGCATATGGGGTGAACATTTACATCAGGTAGATACACTCCTTAGAGATCAATCATGGGAGAATAGAAGAGCAGTATTTGCACAGGGAGTCATCTCACGGGGCAGGAATGCAGAGGAAAGAAGGACCCAGGGAAGAGGTAACTATGGGGAAGAAAGCTGTTACATTGTGGAGAATTGCAGTCAATATCATGAAACAAAATGTATATGAACTGCTGTATGGAAAAGGAGTTTGCTCTGTAAACTTTCACCCAGAGCACAATTAAAAAAAAAAAAAAACCTAGCATTTGATAATTTTCCTAAATTGACTCTTGATTTAAAACAAATAGATAAAATGTGAACATGGAAAGGTAACTCATTCTTCCCTCACATTTTAAAATGTTGTTGTTGTTGTTATGTGCCGTCAAGTCGGACCCGCCTCATAGCGACCCCTCCTTGCGTTTCCGAGGCAGTATCACTACGGAACTAGATTGCTCCATCTTCCTTCCAAGGAGTGGCTGGTGGGTTTGAACCACCAGCTTTCTGGTTAGCAGTCACATTTTAAAATAGTTGTACCCAATTAAAATGAAATTGATCTTCCATCATATTCTCTTCTCTATCCTTCCCAGTCATCTTCCCCATCATCCACAAAGGGAAATTTTAATTATTTTCCTGTGGGTGGTGTTTTTCAGACAGGTGTGCATGTATATATAAAACCAAAACCAAACTCACTGCTGTCGAGTCGTATCCAACTCATAATGAACACTCCTAGGGTTTCCGAGGCAGTATCACTATGGAAGTAGATCACCCAATCTTCCTTCCATGGAGTGGCTGGTGGGTTTGAATCGCCAGCATTCTGGTTAGTAGTCAAATGCCTTAGGCAGTACGCTACCAGAGCATATTATTATTATTTTTTTAATGATAGGAGAATTGCCTTTTTCAAACATGCCCTTTAATGGATTTTAACAAACCAACAAATAAAAATACACAGTATTCCCAAAGGTGGAAAACAATATATTAATTTATTTCCAAGAAAACAAAACACAGAACATCACTGAAAATAAAGACTGATACAGTAGTTTCATGACATGCCCAAAGGCTAGCAGAAATCTACTAGCTCAAACACTATACTCTCCCAATCTTAACACATTTACTGTAATGAAGACATAAGAAAGAGAACCAGCAACTGACATGTAAACATCTATTCCAGAAAGTTTTCTCATTCTACATAAGAAAGATCCAGTGTAAAACATGTGTTCTCAGGTGTTGTCACTTAAATAAATTGAAAAGAGATTTAGATTCCTGTTAATCCTGGATGCATTTCCATCAATCTTTTACCACCTAACAGAGTTCCATTTATTTTCAGTAGTGGGGGAAAAAAAATTTGTTTTACTTCAAAGTCATTCCCTTTAAATATGGTTAACATTCAACAGGTACAATTATAGAAAAAAAATTGTGTAAATTAAATGTATCATTAGTTGTAGTAACTGTTTTGTCAGAATAAATATTTAGGAATTCGATGGACTAAAGGAATACTAAAGTAGACTTCACATTTTTCTGAGGTGACAGGACTTTTTCTCAGCAAGACCACTGAGACCACACTTAAATCTTGCATTCTCTGGAATATTAAATATGGCTTCATTCCACTGTTTCTCAATATTCATCCCTGGAAAAGAACTGAGAAGACCAGTGAGAGAATTCCAGTTCTCACACAGTGAATGTGTTTCTTAATGCTTACTAAGCTCTCTAAGCTTTAGTTACTTCATCTGCAAAATGGGAGTAACGATGGGAACCTCACAAGATTGTGAGGCTGGAATGCCTACCACTATGCTGGGAACACAATAGACTTTAGTTTCTGTCTCCTCCCTTTTGTTCTCCTTGTCCTGATATTACAATCTACATACCAATAGCATAATCATGTTTAAGACATCATGTGTTAAAATACAGCCACTCTGTAAAATTATCTGGGGCAGGCTTTCCAGTGTTGACATTACTAAGATTTTTAAAGGGACAATGTTTTTATCTTACTTGTCTCAGCATATATCTGGTGCATAATAGATACTCATGAAATATTATAGAATGCATGCTGAATGAATGAATGAATAGCCTAATGACAAGGCATAAATGATGGATGGAGATGCTCACCTATGTTTGAAAGCTGGTAGAAATCTAGGCACTTCTCTCAGCACCAGGCATTATAAAGCTACTCAGAGAATACTAGCGACTAGTTAAAAGCCTTGCTGGATAGTATTTGGTCTCCATTGTGCAAGTAAGATTGTCTTAGGAGGAAAAGAGTTACAGAAGAGGAAAGCAATGCATTCTGAAGTGATGGAGACTTGAGACTATCCTTGTCCCAGTGTGTAGAAGCACACATGTCTATGTGGTAGTACCTTTTTCTAGGGATATTTTCATTCTTGCAAGGACTTTTCAATTCTCAACAGGAAACGATGAAGAAAGATCAGAGCAAATTCTGGTTTATAGTAGGGAAATGTTTTATTTCCTAGAGGTCCTTTTACTAAAGCAAGCAAGCTGCGGACTGTGTCTTAAAGTACATCCTATCTTTTATGAATGGCTTTATACTACTATATACATAACTTTAGTCATATATGTGGTTAAGCATTTGACTTTGAGCTGAAAGATTGGCGGCTCAAACCCACCCAAAAGTGCTTGGGAAGACAGACCTGGTGATCTGCTTGTGAAAGGTCACAGCCTTGAAAAATCTATGAAACAGTTCTCTGCACACATGAGGTTGCTATGAGTTGTAACTGACTTGATAGTAACTAACAACAACAAGCTCTGGTAGCATAGTGGCTAAAGCACTTGACTGCTAACCAGAAGGCTGGCGGTTCAAACCCACCAGCCACTCCTCGGAAGGAAGGTTGGGCAATCCTACTTCCGTAGTGATACTGCCTCGGAAACCCAAGGAGGGGTCACTAAGAGTCGGGGCCGACTCGACGGCACACAACAACAACAACACAACACAACAACAATAGGCATAGGTGAACTTAAGATACTACTGTTGAAATGCAGGTAAAAGCTCAGTTCTCAATCCTAGCAGCTCAAGATTTAAAGGAGATCAGTGAATACCTAGAAAGTTACTCCTATGCCTATGTGTGGTCAAGCAAAGAAGAGTGGTGTCTACGTATCATCATGTGATTGTAGTTTAGTTATAAAGGATTCTTTCTCCAAAGAAACACAATTCTTATTTTCCTAAATAGTATGACCTAAAACAATGATCCTTTCATTAGAACATTTATATGTGATGAATATCGGGTGCAAAGTTTGACAACAGTGAGATTTGCATGATCATCACAGTAGCCTATTGGGGAGGTGTGTGTCAAGAAACCACCAAAGTGGCCTGGGAGCCAGGACTGCTCTAATCAGCCATCTTATTTGCTTTTTTCACAGTGTACAGTGGATACTTCAAAGTATAATGATGCAGCCAGGTCCTGAAGCCATCACTGTGGTCCTGAAACTGTTCACACAAGAAAGGCAAAGTCTATCACAAAGAAAGGCTCTTCTTCCCAACTGGGCTGTCCCCTCAGTTGTGAGTTGCAGTAGATCAAAAATACCAGCTAGGTTGTATTGCAGTTTCACTCTGATTTAGGGTTCTTTCTCGAAGCCTCAGTTCTAGGCATTCCACAGTCAGGGGGTATGTTTTCAGCTCAAACTTATTAGCAAACAGGCTTTGTGAGTTAATCAGCCATTTTAAGTCACCATTTCCATAAATACAAATGCCATGTATATAGTGACCTGCAAAAAAGAGAACAGAAAACATAGTCAAAACATGCCTGCTTTTGAAAGTCAGTGGTAGTGACTTTGAAGAACAGTACAGATATTGCCTGACAACCAACCTGTCAAGCGCTATTGGAGTCAAGTGAAATAGGATTGTGCCATCCCAGTCTACAAGGAAGTTAAACTCTATCTGTATTTAGGAAGACAAGGATTACAGTAAGGATCACTCAATGCAATGAAATCTACTTCTCACTCCTCTGACACCAACTGTGTTGATCAACACAATCTATTATTATATTCTAATACAAATCTGCTCAATTCTGTTTCTAACTGCAGATTCTGTACTTTTTCCTCTGACCCTAACCACCTAAAGCTAGGTTAGATCTCACAAGTAAAGGGCACAGTCCTCCAGACTTCCAAGTAGACCCAAGAATACAGAAGTAAGTGTAGGAGTAACAAGGCCCCCCTCACTTTTGACTTTGGCTCCTACTACTCCCTTGGGTTTGGACTACTTGGGTACTACTCACAGAATTCAGGAAAGCACTATACTTATGATTAAAACCCATTTCCACAGAATTGATTCCAACTCACAGAGACCCTACACACAGAGTAGAACCATCTCATTGGGTTTCTAAGGCTGTAAATCTTTCTGGAAGCAGATTGCCTCATCTTTTCTCCTGCAGAGCGGCTACAGACTCAGTAGTTTGTAGCTTTCATTATAGCAAAAAGGATACAAACAAAGAGACTACCATAGGATGAGGTCTGGGAGTGACCCCAACACTGATCTTCCATGTCCCAAAAAAGGACATGTGCATTGATGTTTTTCACCAACCAAGAAGTCCATGGACCTTCACATACCAGAGCTTTCATGGGGACATAATTATGTGCCTAAGGTATTTGACTGCTAACCAGGAGACTGGAGGTTGAAACCCACCAGCCTCTCCTCGGAAGGACGACTGGGCAATCTACTTCTGCAGAGATACCACCTTGGAAACCCAAGGAGGGGTCACTATGAGTCAGAATCAATTCACCAGTAGTGAATTTTAAGAGAATTATGTAGGGGAGTTTCTGGGTGGCACAAAAAGTTAAGCGTTTTCAATGCAGTGGGGAATGTGCCCATGACCACATATAGGGTTGGCAGACAATGTTTCTACAAGTTTATTTGTATGTTGTGTAAGAATTTCTAGGTATACAGTAGAGCTGATAAGGGACAAGGTTGTAGTCACTTCTTAGCCACAGCCAGCTACCCAGAGGGAACAAGTAGTTGGACCTATGGGCTTGGGACCATGGTTCCAGGGGACAAAAAGCTCAATTAGCATAACATACCATGCAAAAACATTGTTCCACATCCTACTTTGGCGCGTAGCAACTGGGATCTTAAAAGCCTGCAAGCGGCCATCTAGATGCAACAATGGGTTTCTCCTCGTCCAGAGCAAAGAAGAATGAAGAAAACCAAAGATTCATGGAAACAATTAGTCCAAGCGACTGGTACACCATGTGATCCTCAGCCTATATAACTATGAGACCAGAACTAGGTGGTGCCTGGCTATCACTGTCAACCACTCGGAGGGGGATCTATGTAAGGGATCCTAGATAAAGTGGGAGAACATTGAGGAACAAATCTCAAAATCATAAAAAACAAAAGGGACTACCCAGAGCGACCAAATAGTTGATCCTGCAGGCTTGGGACCATAGTCGCAGGGGACATCAAGCTCAATTGGCATAACATACTATACAAAACATTGTTCCACCTCCTACTTTGG